ATTTTCTTGATAACTGATTTAGGACAGCCCAGCTCACTGTGGGCAACACCATTCCCGGGGCAGGTGGTGCTGGGCTGTGTAAGAAATCTAGCTAAACATAAACCCATAAGCAAGCCAGCAAAGATCTTCCCTCCATGGTTTCTGCTTGAGCTCCTGCCTCAGTTTCTGCTCTGACTTGCCCCAGTGATGGACCTTGACCCGTAAGCTGAAATACACCCTTTGTTCCCTAAGTTGTTTTTTTGGTCAGAGTGTTTTTATCATTCTGAAACTAGACCTAGAAGGAGGCGAGTGTCTTCCCCATGGCCAGAGTGATGAGCTTGCAATTTCCTTTTTGGCTTGGGAGGTTATAGAAAAGCATCCTCGGAGCCTCAAATGGCTGACCTTTTCTTTCAATACTCTTGCTACAGTCTCCAAGGTGAGCAAATGTGAGCCACACACGTAGCTAAATAGTTCATAGGAAAGCAGCAGCCTTTTTCAGGCTACAAATTACCACAGATGAGTCACAGCACCTAGAACAGGTGTCCTAGAAGCTCCTTTATCTGTCTGTCTTCCCCATAGCTCAGCTTCCAGGGCTAGGCATACAGCCAAAGAAGCAAAGGTGGACACAGATTAACAGGCAGATGCAAATGTATAAACTGGAATACTCTGATTGCCGTGCAGAGGCACAGATTAAAGAGCCGGACACTCCTTCTAGGAAGCTAGATTATTCATGCCACAGCTAATGCTTGTGCCTCTGGCTGAGACCCAGGTTTAGATCTATGCTGCCATGTGAGCACAGACCACGCCTGTCTCAAATGCAGAGATATGGAGGACCACAACTTTTTCTGTATTCCCAAGGTGACAGGACAAAGCAAAGTTGGAGGAAATGATGGCTTGGAGTTTTCCACAGCAGGGCACTGTGCCTGGGGCTTTTTGCCTGATTTAGCTCCAAACTTTACAGACAAAATTTAAGTGAGAAATTTAAGACCCATAGGAGCCAAAAATAAACCTGTACATTCCAGGTTTTAGGCAAGTCCAAATACACTTTTCTGAGTCCAAACTTTTTTTTCTCCAGGAGATTGCAATGAAGGCAAATTAAAATCAGATTACTTATATTTCCAAACACACCTCATTTTTCTATCATTTATTGACTACCACATAGGAAATAGTGTATTAACTTTGCAATCTGAAATCAATAAGGAAAAACTACCTCAAACAACAGTAGTTTGCTTACTTGATGAAGGTCTAAATACTTTAAAAACTGGGTTTCCTGAAGTCAGCCAAATGTTCACTACAGTTATACAAATCTTTTCCAACAATAAGATGCTAATTCTTGGCTTACTTCAAACCACATGAAAGAAACAATAAGTCCAGAAGGTTTCCATTTTAATAGTTAAAAGAGGAGATAAGACTTAGTTGTGTAACAGCTTCTGGGAAAGCTACTTTCATGGTGGACTTGATTCCTGCTATCCAGCTGTACTCATGCAAAACAAAATTTGTAATCAAAGCATGTTCTATCCCTTTGGGCAAGGCTCTGTGTCTTACAACTGAGATGCATGGGAATAAAAGTATAGTAGATTATTTCACATCCAAAGAAGTGTTTAAGAAGCTCCTTGTCAGGGCTGGGGAGGTAGCTCAATTGACAGAGTGCTTGCCCAGCCTGCAGGAAATTCAGGGTTCAATTCCCAGTGCTTCCTAAGATGGGCATGGTGGGAGGAGCTACAAAGGGAGTTTGAGGCCAGCCTGGACTACAGAACCTATGCCAATCAGTCAATCAATCAATTAATTGATCAATCAATCAATCAGTCAAGCTACTTTCACAGATTGCCACTTGAAAGAACAACTTCCTTCTGCCAAAGTAAGCATGCATGGGTACAGCTTACCTTTTCACTTAAGAGGGACTATAACCAATTTATAACATGTGGCAATAGACAAAACACACACACACACACACACACACACACACACACACACACACACGACATCAAAGATATGGAAGATGCTCCATAAAAGACTTCTATGAATAAATTATCTATCCTTTTTTGAAAAAAATTTATTTTTTGAGGTATGTATATGTATGTATCCATCTAGGGTATATACACACAAATGTAGTTGGACACAGAGGCCAGAGGAGGATTTGTTAGAAAGAGGGCTGGATAGGGCTGAAGTGATGGCTTAGTGGTTAAGAGAACTTGTTGCTATTGCAGAAGACCCAGGTTCAACTCCCAGCACTCACATGGTGGTTCACAACCATCTATAACTTCAGTTCTAGGGGATCTGATGCCTTCTCTGACCTTCATGAGTACCAGGAACATGTGCAGGCTAAACAGTTATACATATAAAGGAAAAAAAACAAATAAAAAACACTTAAAAATCATTTACTTAAAAAAGAAAAAGAAAGAGTAGCTGGAGCTACAGACAGTTGTAAGCCACCTGATGTGGTGCTGGGAACTGACCTGGGTCCTCTGTAAGAGCAGTGAGCTCTTAGCCACTGAGCCGTGTTGCCAGGTCCCATGAAAAGGTATCAAACTAAATGTTAAAATGTATTAAGAGAGGAAACTTTACATGATCCCTATGAAGCTTCAAGACACGATAAAGAGGCAATGAGAACTGAACACATTGTGAGTTTTTTTTTGTAGAAAATTCCTTCAAGATGGTAGAAACAAATATGACTAAAAGCAAAGAATAAAACTGATTGCAACACTTGGATGGCATTGAGTTATTATACACACACACACACACACAGAGAGAGAGAGAGAGAGAGAGAGAGAGAGAGAGAGAGAGAGAGAGAGAGAGAGAGAGAATTAATGAATGAAAGAACAAGAAACAGAGAACTCTCCCTCCATGTCAAATAAGGTTTGTAGCTTTCTTTGTTAATATCTGTATATACATGATTAGAGTCCACTGAGTAAATTTACTAGTGTCAAAAGGAATTTTAGTAGATTTGAATGACTAGAATTTTTCCAGTGGTCCTGGATTTACAAATTGTGCTGTCATTGGGTCATTGCAAACTGTAAACACTGGATTCTGATGTTGGGAGTTCATGTAAGCTGGCCTGGCTGCTTTGAGATGCGCGACCTTCACAAACACTGCTGGTCAGTGTGTTTGGAGCCAGACGGGCTGTAACACTGAAATCAAGACTTGAATAAAATGTAGTTGGAAGTACAAATATTTATTAGCAAACAAGTACAAAGTGAGGTTTACACCATCTGTTCTTGCAAGCTCAGCGAGCCCCTGCTCTGTCTAATGGCTGTCCTCCCCTGCCTTGCACAGAAGGCTGTCTGAGAATGATTATGCAGCTCCGAGGAGGAATGGTTCCTCTTTCAGTCACACTGGGCTCAGAGCATTTGGGAAGTGTGGAGACCAGGTAGGGTTGGGTTCCACACAGTCCAAGGATGATGGTGTCAGCACAACCTTTCTAGGTAACTCCCTGGCTTGGCTACTTCCAAATTAACTGGTGTAAAATTACTTCCTGAAATTCCTCACCCTGAATAAACTTCTGGCACTGATATTTTGACAGCAGTTTGGAAATGCCATGGCAGCCCTTGAGGGCATGGACTCCAGGTAAGCTATGTTTATACCAATCAACTGGCTCTAGGTGTGATTTCAATTTTACACACATGGATGTAACTCAGTGTTAGCACTGATAAGTTTTAAATGGCCACACAGACCATATAGCTCAATTCTGTAGTTTTGTCCTTTTCTACTTACTTCTGTGCCTCATGTTTTCCTTCTGAGCCATCTGTCAAATTATGTGGCTTCCATTCCCCAAAGATTCACTATTGAACTTGAAAACTTGGGAGAGAAACAGAAAACTGAGTTACATATGGTGTCACCTTGGTTTTATGTGAAAAGGAATTGTCATTGAACATGTGATGAATAAGCTCTTGCAGGTGAAATACTGTCTCCACATGTCCCTCTTTGTGTCTAGCAGTGTGATTATCCCACATCAAGATGTATTTTACAGAGACGAAGCCAGACATGTACAGTCCCAATCACAGCCTTTGCTGTTGGGACTGGCAAGTGATGTTTCTGACCTCTGGAAACTGGAAGGTAGAAGAAAAACAGCAGGAATCTCAGGCTTGCATCTTAGTGTTGCCTAGACGAGTTCTCAGTAACGTTAAACAAACTTCCAAAGAAATCCTTATTTAGCTGATGTTGTTAAAGACACAATTCTGTGTAGATTCCCTCATTACCACCTTCTCCTCTTCTTTTTAAAGTTTATCTTATGTGTGTGTACTTGCTTGTCTGTATGTGCCCCATGTGAGTGCTGTGCCCATGGAGGCCAACAGAGGATGTTCTATCCCTCAGAACTGGAGTTACAGGCAGCTGTGAGCCACTGGATGTGCATGCTGAATGAATGAATGAATGCCGGTCCTCAAGAGCAGCAGGGGCTCTGATCTGTGGAGACTTGTCTCCAGCTCTGGCTATTGTTATTCTTGAAAGCAAGAATGAGGAAAGGTAGATATAATAATTAGTGTCTGGAAGGACCTATTACCTGTCTGTACACTTGTGTCTAAGTCTACACTTCCCAGAGGGTTCTGAAGTGCATTTGATGACAGAATTCCAATTCTATATAAACTCTCCACGATGGTTATAATTTTGATTATAAATTCAATTGCATAGAGAGACACCTGGGATCTTAGTAGAGCACACTTCTGGGTATGTCTGTGCAGAGAGTGATGGCTCTGAGCAAGGAATGGTTTAATCTACTAATGATTCTGAATAGACTATTGGAAAGTGGTAGAACTGTGGAAGGTGGGAACTGTTTAGAGGAAGTAGGTCATTGGGGTGTGACCTTTGCGGTTATATCTTCCCCTGGTCCCTTCCTATTATGGCTCTACTCTGCTTCCTGTCCTTCGTGAAGTGAACAAGCTTCTCCTCCACACTTTCCAACTGCTGTGATGCTCCTGCCTCATCACAGACCCAAATCAACAGAGCCCATCAACCATGGACCAAATAAGAAAACCTTTCCCCTCTGAGTTGTTTGTGTCAGACATCCTGTCACAGTAATGTACAAACAGTAACACACTCCTGGTGTGCTATACAAGGCTAGAATGTACTTTTAGAAATGCTGGTAAGAAATTATTTTAGTGTAAATGAGGTTTGAAAGAAAAGTTTCTGGCTGGGCAGATGCTCTTTTGGTGAAGTGCTGGTCTTGCTAGCACAGGAGTAGGGGATCCCCAGCACTCATGTGAAAACCAGGCACCCTGGTTCTATAATCCCAGGGCTGTGGAGGCAGAGACAGGTGGATCCCTGGAGCTCACTGGCCAGGCAGTCTAGCTGAACCATTGAGCTCCAGGTTCAGTGGGACACCCTGGCTCAAAAAATAAGATGGAGAGCAAAAGAATAAGACGCTGGGTGCCTTACCTTCGCAGGTGCTTCAGGCTGTCTTTAGGGCTACAGAGACGCACTGAGGACTAAGCATGTCCATGCCCCGTTGTGGAAAGTCGGTTCGCTTAGCCAGTGGTATTGGGGTGACTAGCCCTGTGGGGTACATGACTGGATAAGAATCGCTCTCTGGGATGTGGAAGGTTTCCTGATGCCAGGGTTCAGTGAGCGGGTACGGAGCTTTTTCCATCCTTCCCTGGTGGATGAGGAGGTAGCTGTGCCGCTTCGTTCTGTATTTGTGAGTGTGTTGTTCCCACTTAATCCCTTAATAAATTATTGACCAGTTCTCATTTCACCTGGTGCCCAACGTGGGGCTCAAACCCACGACCCTCAGATAAAGAGTCTCATGCTCTACCAACTGAGCTAGCCATGAGTTCTCATTTCAGTGCCCAGTACATTATGTACTGTGTTGGCTAGTTTTATATCCTGTCAGCTTGACACAAGCTACAGTTATCTGAGAAGAGGAGGAGCCACAATTGAGAAAATGCCTCCATAAAACTGGCCTGTAGGCAAGTCTGTGGGGCACTGTCTTGATTAATGATTGATGTGGGAAAGCCCATCCCACAGTGGGCAGTGCTACCTCTGGGCAGGTGGTCCTGAGTTGTATAAGAAAACGGACTAAGCAAGCCATGGAGAGCAAGCCAGTAAGCAGCAGCTCCTGCCTCCACCTCCTGCTCTTTTGAGTTCTTGCCATAACTTCCTTCTGCAATGGACAGTTAACTGAAAAGTAACAAGTTACTTTTGGTCATGGTGTTTATCACAGTAGCAGAAACCCCAATGAAGACAGAAATTGCCACAAGGTCATAGGATATTTCTGTGACAGACCTGATCATGTTTTTATTTTATTTTTCAAGGATTGTGGTGGCATTTGAAGTTTGGGCTAGAAAAAACTGTTGATTGTTCTGAGCTCAGTGGGCTGTTCTTTGGATGCATGGAAGATCAAAAGGACTGAGAGAAACACAGATGATCAAGGTCTGACTTGTCAAGTTTCAGAGGAAAGTTTGAGATACCCTTAAAGACTCTATCCACGACATAAATATTTTAAGAATTAAGAATTTGTGGTTCTGTTCAACTGGTGCTGAAGAATCAGCTGTGATTAACACGAGACCAGAAACACTGAAGTGAAACTTTTGCTGGGACAGTTCACTGATGCTGAGCCCTGGTGTCCTTCCTGTTAACTGTTGATGGAAAGGAACACTTTTACAAAGACACACTTTCAGCCTTTCAGGTAACTGCTGAATACAAAGTTGAATGTCTAGGGTTCATTTTGTTTGGGGGCTACTACTGAGGGGTTTGGAAAACCTGTATCAGATTTGATGACAAAATCCAGACTGATTCATTCCCATTTCCTGTTTTGTTTTTTCTCTCTTAAATTTATACTCCTTAAAAAATACCCACAATACCTCCCGCTGTGCTTGTATGCTCAGCTGCCTGCCTGCCCATTTTTCAAGGAAGTCACTGGATTTTCCCCATTCTTTGTTTCCCTTAATAAGCCGTTTATGTTGAGTTCCTCTGGCTTTGATGCTGGTGTGGAACTCAGGGCCTCCTACAAGCTCAACACTTCTGTGATGGCTAAAGAAACACCATTTTATGTTAGTCATCCATCTTGACATCCACTAGTCTTTTGTCTTTGACTCCAGTTCCTAGAAGATAAGTTCCCAGTAACCTTGGCTTAGTGACCCGCACCCAGAAATGCAGTGTGACCATCTGCTTTTTGGCTTTTGTAACCGGCCTATGCAGACAATTAAGGACTATTTCGGGGTTGCCTTCTCTAAGCTTGGCAGAGCTTGGCTTGCTTGTGTAGACACTCAAGGTCTTCTTGTGGTTTTCACCTTTAAAAATCTTTCCCTCACTCCTTTATTTGGTGCATCTCTGATGTAGCTTAGAGACCACGGCCCTGCTAGCAGTTTTAATAAATTTGGACAATTATAATCTAATTAAGTCTGGTGGTCTTTTCCTGGGGGTCCCGGACTCCATAACACTTTCTCTACCAAAATTACAGCTCTAACAGGATGGTTTGACGCCATCCTGCCCGTCTGATACATTTGTACATATTATTGTCCCAACTTAAGCATAAGCATCAAAACTTGAAGTATGTCATTAGTATTGGGTTTTAGAACAGGAATTTCTGTTGTTGGATCCAGACTGGAGGAAGGGAGGGCAGTGGGCTAATATTCACTATCACATATATATTTGGATCGTGTCTAGACCTTGAAATTCATATTTAAAAGGCTAGTCAATTGGGCTTCCTTCCTTCTTGCTTTCCTGGCATTTGTAAAGATGTGTTTCTGGAGTTGAGTTGTGATACTTGGAGGATGATGTGACCATGACAATGATCATGACCAGACTCTGTGGACAGTTAGTGTATGTTCAGTGCTCTCCCAACACATCATAAAGGCTACTGTGCTGAGAGCATCCCAAGGCATGATGCCACGATGCCCTTCTCTGACCTCATAGCATGGTACAGAAAGGCGGGGGGCCGGGAGCACACACCGCTGGCCAGCTGCAGAGCCTGGCCTCTGCTCAGAACCAGGCTCTTTCTTCACTCCCATCCTCTGCTCCTTCCAGCTCCAGGACATTTGACCTAGATCTTGAGTTGAGACAATTCTCCCCGCACCAAAGAGTGAGCTGATGTAAAGTATCTTTCTGGGGCCACTGGTAGATGAGGTCTGTCTCCTGCAGAGGTAGAAGGGCTCTTGGCCAGCGATTCAGTTCCTTTACTCTGTGATCAAGGAAATGGGAATCTCCAGAAGCCACACACACACTGTTGGGAAGGAATGCTGGAAGAGAGAAATCAGGGCTACGGAAGATTGACATGCAGGAGGGTCTCAAGGAACAGGAAGCAAGGGGTGAATGGGTATGGCTGTCTGTTTTTGGATGTGATGTCACTAGCTGTCTTGAGTCCTTGCCTTGACTTCCCTTTATGGACTATAACCTAGAATTGTGAGTGGAAATAAACCTTTTCTTCCCTAACTTGCTTTTGGCCAGGATATTTTATCACAGCAACAGAAATGGAACCAGGACTGAGTTCAAAGAGGAGTTCTGTGGGAAATCACTTGTAAACTGATATATTGGATTGTGAATTGGAGAGGGGGAAGTTTCTAGAACTTTCCTAGGAATATGTGTCCCCTTCCTTTCTGAAGCAAAGGAAGAAAATCAGCAGACACAGTAATCACACTAAGCATTCAGAGGCAGTATCTGGAAAGTGTGAATGGAAAACCACCACACAGCCCCCGAGCTGAAGCCCGCAGCAGTGACTCTGAGGTAATACATACAGTATGTGTGCCAATAAATCACTGAAAAGAAAGACTGAGTGTGGAGGAAAGATGTTATCTCCTGGGCATGAGGAGTTATTGAGTATCTGAGTCAGGGAGCAGGGTTTTGTGGGAAGGCAATTTCCTGGGTCTGCTCACAAGGACAATGAATCACTGTTGAGACCTGCAGTGCCTGGGTGGAAGACCAGAGGGTGATGAGTCCAGAAAACTTGAGGTGACTGGTAAGCACTCGTGCTAGACTTTATGGACACTTTCCCCATGTCAATGCTCCACTCAGCACTAAGTGCAAGATGGCCCACGCCACCCCAGCTTGCTCCTAAGGACCCAAGTTAGTTGCTGTTCTCCCCACATTCTGATCTAACTCCCAGTCGTACTCTGCCCCTTGGGAATGTCCCCACATAGGCTTCTTCCTAAACCATACTCACCTGTTACTTAGGAGTAGAAGCCAGAGAGGCTACCCATGTGGGTAATTAGTGCTAATTAAAAACAGATCTAAACTTTTTGAGACAGGGTCTTTCTATGCAGCTTTGTGGCCATTAATTGATGGAGCTCCTTCTGCCTTGATCTTCCAAGTGCTGAGATGACAGATGCGAGCACTGCATCTGGCTGTTAGTGTTAACCTTGTCTTCTCTGTGAAGGCTCAGCAGCCAGTGACAAGTGGGAGCACATCTTCAGCAGGGATTGTGCCTGGCCACTGCAGCCTGGCTTCGGCAGGGGTCAGTGTTGTGAGGCAAGAAGAGCTGAGACACGGATGGGACAATTCCTGATCCTTTCTCACCCATTTTCCTTAGTGGATGGTTACTGCATTGGGTGAGCAGGGAGGTGCTGGGGTGGGAGTGTGCTGGTGATCTGTCCTAGTACCTTCCACATTCCCAGTGAAACAAAGCCAAGCCATCAGTTGAGAGTGATGGGGGAACTTGAGATGAAAGACCATGGTGTGACACAGCTGTTTATAGAGAAAAAGGGGAGGGAAAGGGAAGGGAGGGGAGGGGACGGGAGGATGGCTGCAGCAGTGGCCAGGGTCCCCCTGAAGCAGGCAGCTGTGATTTTAAGGAGTGATCCCACACAGAAGAGACGTAGATGCTGAGTCAGTCTGCATCACAGCAGCAAAGCAGAGTATTCTGGGTGTAGGAACTCCCATCCAGGAGGCGTGGTTCTAGTTTCTTTGTGTTGCTGTGATAAATACCATGACCAGAAGCAGCAACCCAGGGAGGAAAGGGTTTACTTATTGTTACATTTCCATTTCTGGGTCACAGTCCACTGTTGCAATCAGGGCAGGAACTCAAGGCAGCACTTTTTGCTATTCAATGCAGAAATTGCCTCCAACTTGGGAACTCACAGCCGAGAAAGTGCAGCAGGAACCATGGA